TGGCTGCTCCAGCCACTCTGGCAGAGTGGCTGAGTGGCTGAGTGGCTGCTCCAGCCGCCCTGCCAGAGTGGCTGAGTGGCTGAGCCGCTCTGCCAGAGTGGCTGAGTGGCTGAGTGGCTGCTCCAGCCACTCTGGCAGAGTGGCTGAGTGGCTGAGTGGCTCCTCCAGCCACTCTGGCAGAGCGGCTGAGTGGCTGAGTGGCTGCGGCAGAGTCATCAGCCAGTGAAATGGATGAAGTTTTTAAACACTTCAATGCCCAAGAAAGATTATATGATATTGACAGCAACTTGATTTACAAACATAACCCTGTAAACTTCAACTGCCATAGCTACATAACTTTCAACGTATTGATTAAGAACAGCCGCATATACACTTTGAACTATAACCTGAAATCACTTGAAAGGAAAGAGAGCGTTGATGAACTCTACAAGTTCAGGATTGGAAACAACTATTACATCAACAACAGAGAAGAACCCCTTAAATACAAAATGATTGATGGTATCGATGACGCGATGAGTTTCAAGGATGAAGAGGAGCACAGATTAGTTTTTAAAAAGCAATGATTTGAACAAAACAATTTATGAAATGAAAAGAGCAGGATATGAACCACAGGTTAGGCACACAGCAGCTAGGGCAGTAGAAGTCAAGTTTGATTTAACACACAAGATAGGCAAGAAACAGAAAACGGCAACCTACAGCATTGTAACACAGCACCGTGACCATGATAGAATCAATGATGATATTTTGGTGGAAACAGAGGAATAATACAACAAAGTCAGCGCGACAATGTTCAAGTTTCATGAGTCAATTTTCAGTGAAAATCATAAGTCATACTATAACGAAACTGACCTTAAAGCATTGGATGAATGCAGAACCATTGTTCCTAATGGAAGGTGCGAAGGGCAAAAGACTATGATAGCAAGGGCTATGAACCTGTCCTTGCCCCTGAAGATATGCGTAGCATCGACACACGGAAAACCTACTCACACCAAGCAACAAAGATTACACACATTCCAGTGTTCAACGATTTTGATGTATGGAAACCATACACCAAAAAAATGATTTTAACAAATTCAATAACTACACCTTGTTCATAGTGAAGGCATGTCAGGGCAACATTTGTTTTTTAACAAAAAAAATCGGGTGTATGGGAAGCACCTGAAGGCATTGATTCAGAGAGGGGTGGCAATGAAGATACTATTTTACAAAGTACCTTCATACATTCACAGAGTGAAATATAAGAAAGCGGTCGAAAATTTATATAAAACAGTGATTAGTGATGACAAGTTTGAGAATCAAACAATTTTGAAAACTATTGCTAATGTAGGCTTTGGTTTGCTTGAGAAGTCTTACAATAGAAAAACGGTCAGTAGGATGTTTGATAATCTTAAGGAGGCATTACAGCACCAAAAAAATATGATGGGAGGATTTACGCAATGAACGAAGAAAAGTATGAGGAATATTTTAGATGGAGAGAATTAGAAGAAAATTGGACTATCGAAGTTGATGAGAACAACAAACCTTTTTCTAGACATGTGAATGGCGGTGCGTGTTTTGCAGATTTTGATTATAACGTCCAGGATGGCAAAACCTACCACTGTGAAAATGATTCATTCAACCAAAAGATAGAGAAGAAACGCGAGACCGCAAAATTTTATATAGCCAGTGTCAGTGACCAAAGGCAGTTGATGAACGATTTAGGTATATCAAAGAGCTACTGTTACAAAATCATAACTTTCATATGTATGATGCATATGAGAAGTTGAAGGAGGCAAACATCAATGTTTACGCTGTAAAGACTGATGCCTTTCACATAGCAAAGAGCGATTTAAAGAAAACTAAAAAAATATTGAATTTTCATAATGACATAGGAGGCTGAAGAGTGGAAGATAAGAAAGTTGTTCCTGTTCCCGAAGTCCATGGATGGAAACGCAATGAGATTCCAAAAATACCGATTTACAAAAGCGAAAGGATTGAGGTTCAAGATGAATGGGACACAGAAGCAATTAAAAAAAACAGCAGTAAGGAAGAAGAGAGTCATGATTAGGGCAAAATTTGCAGGAAGTGGATCTTTGTTGATGAAATGTATAAGTCAAGTCCTTATATTTTGAATAAGATAAGAGTGTTCTGCAATGAAAATCCTCATTTGATTGTAATAGGCGCAGGTGATGTCAAACAACTTCCAAGCATAGAGCCCTTCACCAACAACCAAAATGGAGAGGAGTATGTTGACAATTGCATTGACATAATTTTCAAACACAATATATTTTTGCAGATACGCAAAGGAGTAGGAGGTAAAGATACAGAAGAGGGAAAGGAACAGAAAAAAGTTAAATGAAATCTATGATGATTTTTGGGAAAAAATCTGGATGATTTTATTTTTATGATATAAGGAAATACACTTAAAAGGATAATACCTTATAATAGTATGGAGAGTAAAAAGTGCACAAAGTGTAAGAAAAATAAAAATGGTGACGAGTTCAATGGAATGAATAGAATGTGTATTGAATGCTCGGACAAACAAAAGGAGAGTAGCACAGTTTATAATCAAAAGGAAGTATTCTGCGACATTTGCCAGCGGAATGTGACACAATGCAGGTTGTCCAAACATCTTAAAACCGACAGGCATATAAACAAGGAACAACTCAAAAAGGAAGAAGAGAAAAAACAAGAAGAGATGGAGGAATACTTAAAAGATGATGACGCCAGAATTGCAAAATTGAAACAAATCTGCAAAACCATTACGTCAAAAAACTTTCAAAGACTTTAACCCCATAATTTTTCATATCATAATAATATATGAAATATATGATACTAATGTTAGACATGGATGATTTAGATTTATGATATTTTTTATGATATTATATTATGATAATATACTATGATGAAATTTATGATGACATATTATGATGAAATTTTATGATTTGAATTTATGTGATGATGGATGATGATGAACTGATGCGGGATGATGATGTACATATGAAATGATGTGTTTTTATTTTGTGTTGATACTGTGATGAAATGATATGAAATGTTGTGAACATGAACTGCGGTAAATGATGAAATGGTGGAGGTGGATGGTATGAACTTAGGTGTGTTTGTGTCTAGCTATATGTATATATAAATGTATACATAATTTCTTTAATAACATACATATATGAAAACATTGGAACTATAACCAAATGTCTCATTTCTTTCACCATGATGATCCGCAGAGACCCACAGAGCGAACCCCTTTAACACAAATGGCTAACGACTTCTTTCTCACAACCCTTTAACACAGACGTTTGCATAAAATTCCATTCAATCCATAAGAATATGTGCCCCAGTGCCCACAAGATAAAGGAAGAAACCCTAAATTAGCATAAAACCTCACTTGAAAAACTACCCAGACCTAAGAAAAATTAGGTCTGGGTAATACTGCTTACACTCCATTGGCTAAGCTGCACATGACTTCTTTCTCACAACCCTTTAACACAGATGTTTGCATACAATTCCATTCAATCCATAAGAATATATGCCCCAGTGCCTACAAGATAAAGGAAGAACCCCCAAATTAGCATAAAACCTCACTTGAACAACTCCCCAGACCTAAGAAAAATTAGGTCTGGGTAATACTGCTTACACTCCATTGGCTAAGCTGCACTAGCTATTCGGGTTGATTATGGGATCGAGTCACGGGAAATCAGATCAGCATTGGCTGACTTTAAGTACGTGGGATCTGAAATGCGGGGGGATGAAAGTGTTTGCATGGCAGGATCCGGTAGTCTTAAGTAATCTTTCTAGAGGACAACCAAGCCACTATTAGAATTCTTGAGAGTGGTAGGTCACCGTCATTTAGGCACACTGACAAAACACAAAGGTTGAACTTATCATGGTTGTCTGAGCAATTCAAACGAAAACATTTTAACCTCAGGCCGCAAATGAGCTACGTCGGCAAGGCAGACCTTATCTCGCCCTGGTAAATGGGCAGCTTTGCCGTTCCGGCTCACCTGAGGGGGGTGTATTTGCACTCGGGGTATAACACAATGTATCATAGAATGTTACTGTATCACAGCTTTGCGGCTCTAGCAAAAGAGTTGGGCCGCAGTGCTTAACAGCGTTTATTCAAGTTTATTCTTTAGGTTTATCAGTCTATTTATGTCTATTTGGGTTTCCCAGTAACCCTTGCTGAAATTTGAAAAGACAATTAAAAAACACATAAATAAATGAACGAAGAAAGAAAGAAATAAATAAATAAACAAACAAATATATAATATACAAATACAATATACATACACCTATAGTAGTTTGGTAAAGGGGGTCGTAAGCCATTTGCGAATGGGAGAGCCGCCATTAGGGGACTGATGACCCAGGGTGACTAACCAGTTTCCAAGCGGAACTCAGCAACCACAGCCTCCACGAGCTTTATCTCTTGAGGCATTTGGCTGCAGGGAACATGGAAATCCCATGAGGATGTGACAAACATGATGATTGCAAGCGAAGATGGAGGAATGGCCACTCCTAGTGGCACTGATGGAGGAATGTCCCATGAATCCCATGATGTGCCCATTTGGACCCACAGTTTTCACCGCTGACCTGAATTTGTCGGGCGCCCCCGGCCATGCTTGCGGGTGCAAGGCCGGTCAGGCTTGTCAGGCGCATCTGGGCCGGGGCTTCATCACCGTGGATAGCGAAGATCCGCGTAGTCCTTGGCACTCTGGGAATTCCAACCCGGAATTGGGCAATGCAATTAAACATAATTATTTAAACTTGTTGACCATTTCGTCGGTGATGTTCATTTGTGGGGACCATATTTCTTTTCTCCAGGGTTCCTTTCGGCAAAAGCATAGCCTCGCAAAGTCCAGCTAAATCCACCTTCAAAATTGAGTTTTGGGGGACCCTTTCACGTCCCTCCGAAAAAGAGAAGACATAGGCGGCTGACCATCTTGGAACATGAAGCTGGTGGCAAAGAAAATCCAGTCCTGCTGCATCCTGAGGGCGAAGCTGTGCCAGGTCATATGGATTACACCGTGGATTACACTGATGTCTTACGCCAGGGCCTGGGCGAATGGTCGCCCAACGGAAAATTCCTGGCCGGAGCTCAGCAGTCGCTGGGTCGCGAAGCCGCAGAGGGATGCGCAAGAAGGGCATGCAACAAGACCAAACAAGAGGTGAATTGCCATAGAATTTAGCTTTTGCTTTTGGTGAGATAACGAGTTTGGATGAATTTTGGTGGAACATCCCGGCCAAACTTGTGCTCCTGGCAAACTGGTGACAGCTGCAGAAACTGAGGAATCGGCTTCAGATCCGAGAGCATGAGTCTCTGAAGCTTCTGCAGGCATCGGTGTTGAGCCAGGTGTTGGGAATGGCAGTTGGACTGGAAGCTGAGAGGTATAGTTATATATATATATATAATTATATATATATATGTCTGGAATGGTGATATGACATGTACAGATACATTATATATACATACAATATATATATATGCACGTACATACACACACACACACATACGTACGTACTTACATTGATGACATGACATTACACGACACGACACGACAGGACATGACGTGACAGTACAGTACAATGCAATACAATGCAATACAATGCAATACAATACATACATACACACATGAATACACACACATGCATACACACACATGTATAGACACATGCATAGACACATGCATGCACACACATGCATACACACACATGCATACACACACACACACGCATACACACATGCATAGACAGATGCAGACACGCACACACACACACATGCACACACACACACATGCACACACACACACATACCTACCTACCTACCTACCTATCTACCTACCTACCTACCAACCTACCTACCTACCTACGTACTTACCTACCTACCTACCTACCTACCCACCTACAGACATACAGACATACAGACATACAGACAGACAGACATACATGCATATGCATATGCATATGCATATGCATATGCATATGCATATGGATGGATATGGATATGGATATGGATATGGATATGGATACATATGTATAAACATATGTATAAGCATATGTATAAGCATATGCATAAGCATATGTACAAACATATGTATATGTATATATGTATGTGCGTGTTTATACGCACAATCCTTTCACGCGTTGCATAGTTTGCATGAGAGGCATTTCTAGATTGATGCCTAAGTTTACAACTTTTCCTCTCAAAGTCATTGGGCTCATGGGATCATGATGGGAGCTGCTTTAGATGCTGAATTTACTGTACATGCCTAATTTCATTCTGCCAGCCCCCAGGTCTTCATTTGCCTGGACAAGGTCGAGAGGACAGTTATTTTTTCCCGCTCCGTTCTTTCGACTGCAGTCGGAATGGCTTGATGTGGCTTTATATGGCTTTACATTACTCTATGGTTATATTGTGTAGATGTTTCAGTTCCTCATCACATGGATTTGAGACTTGTGGAACAGCCGAAAGGATTGAATGGTCTCCTGATTCCCAGCTGATCCTGACGGAAGTGGCGCGACCAGGACTGGTTCAATGGGGCAGAGCATAGAGCGGAGGGCATGGGATTGTCCATGTGATCTAATAGTGACCTAGTGACCTAGAACCTTGTGGCATAGCTGCAGATAGTTGCTGATCATTGATGAACTTGGAGAAGAAACAATGTGTACTGGGGCCAGTTGGCCCACTTGTCAAGTGTGTAGCGAGGAGTGCTGCAGATTTGGAGCATGAGGCTGGTGTCAGGTTGGCCTGTCTTGGCTTGTCATGCAAGATTTCACTGCTGCAGCTGCTCAGGGACAGCGAGTGGACCTGCCGTATCTACGAAGGTTTAGCTGGCATTGCGCACGCGTGGTGGGCGGATGCAGAGACAGTGTTGGTGACTGTCGACTTTCAGTTGCTTCACCTGCTGTATTGAGTCCTGGGCCTGGGTTACGGTGGGAATCATGCCCTTGAAGAGATTGGTTGCCCACCTGTGTGCATGCTTGGGCCATTGCTCTTTGTCTCCGTGAAGGGTGTGAAATACAATCAATCCACTGAATAACCTGCTTTGAGACTCAACTGGTCTTTTTTCTCCAGCTTCATTTTGCATCTCCTATCGCACAAGATGGGAGCGAAAGGGGTAGGCTGGTGCCGCTCATGATGACTTCCAAGGCTCTATGTGTCCATTTGGCAACTGCAGGAGGGAAGCAGTGTCCGGAGCCAAGTTGGGCCACTGTAGTTTGTCAGCCATGGGGAACACACGTGCCCCAAAATTGCAGTTTAAGTTGAGAAAATTATGCTCAACCCGTGGATTTTGGGGAAACCTCCTTTTTGGACAGAACCCACGTGGCCAGTGTATAAAAGAAGATCGTTGCATGCTATGATACCCTTCTTGCGAACCCTGAGGCCATACAGATCCCTCGTCCCAAGTTCCGGCAGCGGGGTGTCGCGTTCAGCCGCGACGGCTGTTGGCTAGCAGCCCTCAGGCGGGTGGAGTGCAAGGACCTTCGGGAAAGGATGTGGATTTGTCCAAAAATCGGGGGCATCCGAATTGTTGTAGTAACATGCAGATCAACCCACTTCTCAGACAAACCCATGTGAAAGAACGAGAGAGATGAATTTGGAACATGAATCCTTCCTCCCCCCGGGCCCTACTTCATTCTCGTGATACTGAATCATGCCCTCATGGGTAGCGAAGATTTGGCCGTGGTCCACAGGACAAATTGAGCGTCTACAACGCGGAAGGGAAGTTCACCTGTCTCACTGAAGCTTTGATGCGCTGATATCGGATATATCGGTGCTGGGGTCACCCCAGCTGCTCATGCGCTGAGGATGTGGCCCTTCCCGGCGATGCTGCCAATCTCCTCTGGGGACCTGACGATAACACGTGCCCCGGCTGGGAAGTGTTGCAGCATGTAGCAGAAAGAACTGTAGGTTTGAAGCTGAATTCATTGGCCGAACCTTGTCACAACCGGATATTGGCATGAGGTTGGTAGTTTGGGAGATGCCTGGTCGATTGCCTTGGTGTCGCATGTTGCTTGTCTGTGCGGGTGCATGGGAACAGATGTGAGGTGAGACACATTGTGGTGTACATAGGGCAAGGAAGGAGATAGGGACTACTTCTTGTAGTTTCTCTGACCTGGCCAAAGTTTTGAGCAAGTATGGTTTGAGCAAGTGGGGAAGCATGCACTTTAGTGGGAGCCTGAGAAATATTCCACTATTTCCACTTTCACATCTGAAGGGCCTGAAGAGTCGTATCGGTCTTGGTCCTCAAAGTGGGTCCTGCTTGGCACTTGGAGTGCAAGGCAGAGGTCATGATCGTGTTGAGCACCACCATTGAAATAAGCAAAGTGCCACTATGATTTTCCGTTGCCAAACCTTACCGCCCAGGTACACCTTAGCCGGTGAATGCTTGGTGCAGCTTGGGGATGGCTTTCCAAGGTTGGGCCCGGGCAGAAGTCAATGGGACGAGAAGTTGGATCGCAACGCGCTCGAGGTCAGTGGTGGCGTCACCCTCTACAGCTCTGCTGGCAGCGTGCGGCATTGATGGGCAATTGCAGCTGATCCCTGGATGCAAAACGCCAGGTGATCGATGCGCCAGTGAAGTATGGTCAAATTGGTCAAGAATGCGATAGCGATACTACTAATCTGGTACTCATAGTACCACGAAGGGAGAATTTCCAGTCCCAGAAAGCTTTTTGACTTTGTGGTGAGCTCTCTGAAGATCTTGAAGATCTTGGTCCGAAGGCTTAGGATGCAGGTGCAATATAGTGCAATCATTCTCGGCAAGATCCTACCATCATAGCGGTTTTCATCTTTCAAACTGCTGCTCTAGAACTCCCATGAACTCCCCACACCCTTGCTTGAGCCTGCTGGCTTGGACGTAGAACAGATCTCAGGCTGAGTGCCGTGAGCCAGAAGATTGTGGCCAGCTTCGCTCATGCAGCTTGGGTATCGTTTAACTGAGCTCAGAATAATGAATTCAGCATCCTCCTTGCCTTTATCACACCTGCTTTAGCACTTGAACGCGGCGTGATGCCTGATGTGACTGCTCTTTCCATTTAGACAGCCCTGTGGCAGGGTTGATGCAAGTCCAAACTGTGCACTCTGAAGGGGGGAAACAACAGAGTTCTGACAAACTTGATCTTGGTAGGACCAGTCTCTGGGGTGCACTCTTATTTCCTGTACTTGGAGAAAACAGGAAGCAGCCCAGTCTCATTTGCCAGTGACAAGGCACTAGACCTCAGTGAGTGTGATGATGAGGCCAGGGCATGCCAGGGCAACGCAGCTTCATGCCAACTGCACTGCCCCGCATGGCAAAATTCGTCGGGGAAGGGGACCCAAATCTCATCAGACCAATGGCAGGTATTTTTCTGGGAGGAGGACTTTGAAATGAACGAGCCAGGGGGTCTTCGCTACCGACGACTTCAGGACTGCCTCTGGACACTCAGGTGGTGACACTGCCAGTTGGGAACTTGTACGGTTGGGGCAAGATTCCAAAAATAAATCTGCTTGAGATGTAGCACTCGATATAGATCGATTTACTCTGATTTAATTAAATTAAAGCTTTCAGACAGTATCACACTACAGAGCCGTTCACGCTCTTGCTCTTGATTTGTGCCTGCTGAATGGAATTTAATTTTTTGCCCAGCTTCAAAACTTGCATTTCCTGAGTCTACTCTGGCTCAAAGGGGGCTTACAACAGGGCCGCTAGAGAAACATTTGCGTTGTGATGATGGCTCGCAGCGGATCGCAGCTGCTGAGTGTTGCCCTGCTTGCCCTCCTGGCCATTTGCGCTTGGGTGCCTGCATTCATCTCCAGCAAGACACAGGTCCCTACTGCTGTGGCTGCAGCTGCCGCAGCTGCTGCTGTACCATTGCCAGCCTTGGCCGGCGAGCCTCCAAGCGTTGGCATCCATTGGTACTGGGACCTGGGCGTTGGCACCCTCCATGGTGAGACTGCCAGTGTGGTGATGATGGTCGTCTTTGTCACGGTCATCTTTGCTCTGTTGGGCGCTGGCGGTTCTACAAGGAAGGCATGAACCTCATTGGATACGATGGCCGTAACAAGGCCCATTTTTTCACAAGTAGCGCTTGAGCAGAAAAAGACCGTAGCCGGCCATGCTGATGATTTCCAGTGTTGAGAAGCAGGACTTGATCTTGCAGAAAGGAATGTGCAGGCAATGTCCATCCATTTTCGGTGCTCTTGAAAGTCTTGTTTTGACATCATTGGTTTGCAGTTTTTGGCCTGCTTGCACCACAGGACTTTCCACGCTTGGAAGAGCGAATTGGCCCAGACACTCTTGATGCAGATGGGATTCCAAGGCAGGATGTCTGCAACAAGAATACTGTAGACCTGAAAGATGTATTGAAAGCTAAAGCTAAAGCTGATTGTCCATTTTCTTGCGAAGTTTCCCCTAGTAATAGTAAGTAAGGGAGTTCCTTCCAAACAGAGTTCCTTCCAAACAGCTGCATGAGAGAGATGGGGCACTGCAGGCAGGGCATTACCGTGGCTCAGTGGAGCCCAGATGAACGCTACCTGGCAACCAAGCACGAGTCATTTCCCAGCCACCTGGCAGTAATCGGGGGGTGGGCCCCCCAACTCAGGATGCGGATGGAATATGCGCGTTCTGACTCACTGACTCCTACTATATCAAGATAATTCTTAATTGTTGAATTTCCAGTCTTTCTTCACTGCTATACAAGGCTATATTAATATTATAATTTATAATATCTATATAGACACTATATACTATACCGCAGAGCTTTTTTCCATGTATTATGCTTTATATATCTTTATATTCTCTCCTTCCTGGTGCATACCACACCGTCACCATGCCAAGGTGTGGTATGGATCTGGGACCTTGGGAAGATGGTCCTGGCTTCCTTGCTGTGCCACAACAGCAGGGTGAAATCCCTGGTGTGGGATCCCATGGCCACAGGAGATCGCTCCCGTTTGGCCATCAGCTTCCTGGCACGCTATCGATGGACGAAAATGGGGAGTACCCTCTGGTAATTTAACATAGCTATTGAGAATTGCCATTTATAGTTGATTTTCCCATAAAAAATGGTGATTTTCCATAGTTATGTTAGTTTACCAGAGGGTACATGTCACCGGGGCGCTGCAGATTGGACGGTCAATTGTTGGGAACCATGATTTTTTTTTTGGGTGCACCCTGCGTTAGCAGGCCAACTTCTTGCCGTTGGGCCTGCTGGCACATTCGAATCAATCTGAAGGCCTGAAGGAAGAAGAAACAGGAAGCACAAGGACATGAATGGTGACACACTCACACAGGATGCCAATCAGAACGTAAACTTTGTAGTTGCCAGGGCCACCAGCAACATGGTGTACCAGTACCAATCGGTTCCACCGCATCCGAGGCACTGCAGACCCGGTGCTGTTTTTGTGGTCGCCACAGCACGCGGAAGCCCTGCCCTGCGCCTTGTCTGCGGCGAGGTTGCGATGGCGTTCGGATGGACGCAGCTGCTTGGCATAGACTCTGTAGACTAGCACCGCAACCCGGCAGTTCCAGGTGGTTAGGAAAGTTCCGACAAAGTCTCACTATGAAAAAATATAAAAAAGTCAATCATCCAAGGCACTAGAGCTTCATGATTCCAGTGCTTTGCCTTTGAGCTTCTCGTCCTTGAGGCTTGCTTTTGCAAGAGAGGGACAGATGCTGTGCGTGCCGCCTGGGGATTGCGGCGCTCCCGCGGAAGAAATTTGGCAAGCCTGCTAATAGACGAGTGGGACTCCAAAGGGCTAGCGGCTAACCCCTTGGGCCCCGTCAAATAAGTGGAGATGGACTGGATATGGTTCTGATATGTTCTGATGTTAGCTTTTGAATGCTTTTGATCTGACCTAGTTGGCGTGGGACTCTTACAGATTCTGCCTAGCAAGAGCTGTGCACAGCCTCGAAGAACCACCAAGAAGGATGGATTTTCATTTCAAGTGACGCATCCACATCAGACCGTATATGCTTTCGGAGCGACTCCGCAGGTTGCCTCTGGCTCTAGAGGCATGTGCAATCCGAGCTTCAAATCAAAGGGCTCCAAAATGGCTGGAAAGGGGTTTTGAACAGTGTCAGACAGTGTCAAAGGAGTGTCAGAGAGGATCAGAGAGGACTTCGGAGGCTCAGCAGATTTAGGTTTCCCAGGAACCAATGGTGCTGTCCATGCCAATTCTTGGGCTGTTGGCCATGGCCATGAGGCACACAAACACGGTTGGCAAGGGCGGAGCACGAATAGCCAACAAGATATTGGGCTTTACAGGAAATGACCCAGGTAGCAACTTAGATTGTAACCAATTCATTGCTACAATAGCAACCAATGCATCCAGCCAGACCTCCAAGTCTTCTGTTTTTTTTGTTTGGATGGAAGACGGTGGCACAAGCAGATTGGTATAGTTGGGGATAAAATTGCATAAATATATGTATACATATAAACAAAGAGTGAAGTTTTGTCGTGAAGGAGGGAACCGGTCTTGTGCTGGGTTGTGCTTTCCCTTTGTTCCGCTTTCCGCATTTGTTGCATGCTCTGATCTCTTGGCTCAGTCTGAAGCTCGTACTTAGCACATAAAAAGCGCAACCATGGCGCGCAGTGGATCGCAGCTGCTGAGTGTTGTCCTGCTTGCCCTCCTGGCCATTTGCGCTTGGGTGCCTGCATTCATCTCCAGCAAGACGCAGGTCCCTACTGCTGTGGCTGCAGCTGCCGCAGCTGCTGCTGTACCATTGCCAGCCTTGGCCGGCGAGCCTCCAAGCGTTGGCATCCATTGGTACTGGGACCTGGGCGTTGGCACCCTCCATGGTGAGACTGCCAGTGTGGTGATGATGGTCGTCTTTGTCACGGTCATCTTTGCCCTGTTGGGCGCTGGCGGTTCTACAAGGAAAGCGTGAGCCGAGGGATTAGATTTGTGGTCAGCCAGATGGATGCCGAAAGGAGGCATTTGCGAGTCAATTCTACAATCTTGATGGTTGAGACGTTCAGAAAGTGGCGCGTTGCAGCTTTCAGACAGCCGGTGATTGAGACGATGTCTTCAAATCTGCGCTGAGATACCATTCAGTCCGAGTAACTTTCACATCAAAACAAGTGCAGGTTGTACTGTAGACTTATATATCTCAAAGTAATCATTTTGTAAAGTAGAACCTTCAGCAGCAGCCTACATGAATATTGCATAATTTAAGTAGAGTGCAGCTGCAGTTTGTTCATGATTTTCTGATTTCGGCTCAGTTCTTCCCGACGGCCACCAAATTGGAACTTGAAGGACTGCCTGGTGATGATGGCGCGCAGCGGATCGCAGCTGCTGAGTGTTGCCCTGCTTGCCCTCCTGGCCATTTGCGCTTGGGTGCCTGCATTCATCTCCAGCAAGACACAGGTCCCTACTGCTGTGGCTGCAGCTGCCGCAGCTGCTGCTGTACCATTGCCAGCCTTGGCCGGCGAGCCTCCAAGCGTTGGCATCCATTGGTACTGGGACCTGGGCGTTGGCACCCTCCATGGTGAGACTGCCAGTGTGGTGATGATGGTCGTCTTTGTCACGGTCATCTTTGCCCTGTTGGGCGCTGGCGGTTCTACAAGGAAAGCATGAGACAAGAATCCTTGTTAACGCGGAGCATTGGTGAGCCGTTAAGGGCACTCGGGTTTTAGCCGCAGGAGTTTTCACTCACACCAAAGCGGCGGAAAAATGTTATTTTCCTGTTTGCAGTGAGCATAGGCATAGTGAGCGCTATGCTTGCATAGACATCGCTTTGGTGTTGGCCATTGAGAATGGTTTACTGTCAGTTTGTAGTTTCCGCCATGCATTTTTCAATAGCTTGCCTGAAACTTCTGCTGAAAGGGTTGAGGGAACAGTATGTTTGAAGCTAGTGTGCCTGCGGCAAACGCACAGAAGGCAAGACCATTCTTTGTTCAGTTCATTGGCTTCCCCCCTCGTCCTATTTCGAACATTTTTGGAGTAGGGATGACGTCGATGAAATTGCCACCAAGAATTGCGGATGTCATGGAAACAAATGAAAACAGATCAATGCCCCCAGGGCAACTACGCTGGAAAGAATGAAATCTGGCCCACACTTGGGCTCAAAGTTCTTCTCCAATAGCTCAGACCCAGGAGAATAATTCGGGCTGGTCCAATTGTGATGATGGCGCGCAGCGGATCGCAGCTGCTGAGTGTTGCCCTGCTTGCCCTCCTGGCCATTTGCGCTTGGGTGCCTGCATTCATCTCCAGCAAGACACAGGTCCCTACTGCTGTGGCTGCAGCTGCCGCAGCTGCTGCTGTACCATTGCCAGCCTTGGCCGGCGAGCCTCCAAGCGTTGGCATCCATTGGTACTGGGACCTGGGCGTTGGCACCCTCCATGGTGAGACTGCCAGTGTGGTGATGATGGTCGTCTTTGTTACGGTCATCTTTGCCCTGTTGGGCGCTGGCGGTTCTACAAGGAAAGCATGAGTCTGAGATGCAGCTGTGAGGCAGTTGCCACTTTTTCATGTGAAATGCCAGAGCTTCGTGTGCAGAAAAGTCAGGCATTGCCGGAGATGGTTTTTCGAGTTGCACCGATGAAGCCCCGCAAAACTCCCAAAATGTCATGCGTGAGCCGCTGTGGGGATGCAGCCTTCTTTAGACTTTAGACAAGGCAGCAATGTTTTCACTTGCAGAAACGAGTCTTGTTTGTGTTGGATTCTTCAAGAAAATCACACGCGCGGGGATATACATAATCGTATAATTATATATACATATATATATATATATATGTATATATATATACACATATGAGGCCCACACATGCAGATATATATATATATATACACTCGTTGTGATTCTTTGTTATTTGTCAGTCACCGGCAGATTGATAGCAAAAGTCAGCATTGCAGACTTGAATAATAAGAGTATTTCTGCAGTTCCTTCACACCATCAACAGCCAAAATCAGAGTCCATCACCTTCATCACCTTATCCATTTTTTAGCTTTTTCGACTACGCAGCCATGGTCCGCGGTACGAGCAGCTTCATACTGTCTTCTTAGCTGTGAAGTTTTCAGTTGGTCACAGCCACTTGAATCTGCCGAAGCGCCCCCTTTTAAAGTTGCCAACCCATCTCACCAGTGGATCCAATTTGAACGTAGATGTCTCAGGGCGTCAAACTTTCTGACCTCTTTTCCCCGAATGAAACCATTGATGGTGGCGAGTTACAAATGCAGCGCCACAAGCGTCTTCTGAACGTAAGTCACGTAAGTCACGTAAGTCACGTAAGTCACGTAAGTCTCATGACTAGCGGCTAGCGAGTTATATCAAGCCGTGACAGAAGCAAATTCCTTATGAAACTTCCTGGAAAGGACTTTCTTGGTTTTCTTATCTCCACATGGGCATCATGGACCTGAGACGGAAATGGAGAGAGAAAGGCAGGATTTCCGCAAGTAGAAGTGGGATATTCATTCCCATGCCATTATTGATCATGTTAGATCTGTTAGATCTATTTGGCACCGACCCATCACCCAGCCTCACCCAGGCATGGATGACGATGTCTGCAAATTGCTCACCGATTTGGTGCGTAGCTCCATGAAGCGCTGCCATCAGGATCAGAGCGATCCGGAGCCAATCACCACCTGGGGTCTCTATGCTCCTTGGGCTCATTGGCAGGAAGATACATGAAGATACTGTACTACGATGTATTAGGATATATTGGAGAAGCTGGGCTTAAAAGCTGTCAATACCTGTTGAACTTCCCAGATTCCTTGTGCGGTTTTCCTGCGTTTTTTTTTTTTGGTGGGCACTTCCTGAATTTTATTTGGTTTTGTTTCTTTTGGATTCTTTTGGTTTCTTTTGGTTTGTATTGCTCTTGGAAATCAGCTGTTCACAACTCTGGGGCGCCCGGCCTAAGCAGTTGCCTAGGCAGTTGTAATATCTTGGAACATTCGAATGCTTACATAGTACTGTACAATTTGAGCATGTCAAGCACTGGTCAAAGCTATCAGCACGAATGAAGGTGGGTGGCATGCGCGAAGCCAACAACCTAGAGATGTTGCAGCGGCTTCACATCAGTGCCGTTGTGAATGCTTCCCCGGATGTAGTCCACGTGCCACGGAAGACACGTAAGGATTCCAATGTGTGTTTTGGGGAAAGACATTTCTTATCCTTCTATGTCTTTTTTACTGTATGACTGATGCTTCCCCATCTTTCGGCTGTATGACTGATGTCATATCCAAGGTGGACTATCCCAAGCAGTGGCACGTTTTGACTGTGGACGCAGAGGATGATGAATTCTACCCATTGCTGGAAACCCATCTAGAGGCACTCTTCAACACCAAAATCAGTTTGAGTGTAGAGCTATGAAGCACCTACTCGTATCAATAAATTGTTTCCATGACTTTTCTCTGTTTGGCTTGAGCACTGCAGGCGGTGGTCGAATTTGTGGATCAGCAGAGGGCTGAGAAGCGGCCGGTGCTACTGCATTGCTTTGCGGGAATGAACCGCAGCGCTGCACTTTGCGCAGCATATCTCATGGTGAAGGATGGATGACACGGGGTGACTGACAAAAAGTGCAAAACTGCGAGCCACAGAACACCATATCACGAAAGCTAGCTTCTGCTAGCTGAAGTTCCTTTTGCTTCAGCAAGGTATTGGCAGGGGCTGGAATCGCCGATCACGTGAAATCTTCACACTTAACTACCCGGGACATCATCGCAATATCGTCACCATCAGCATCGTCAGACTTACTCCTCCTATCTCATCGTATCTTCCAGTTCCTCACACCGCTTTTTCACCAAACCTTCCTCATTCTCCCCTTTACCTTCCTAGCTAGCTTTCATCCCCTACACCTTGGCCTCAATTCCCCCAAACCCACCAAAAGCTCCCACCTTTTTTTGGTGCCTCCGAAAGGAGCGGCTTGGTCTCTTCCGCGTGGTGAAGCTGCTGAGTGAAAAGCGCGGATGGATCCTCAGCAACGATGGTTTCATGCATCAATTGGTGCGCTTGGCGCGGGAAGAGGAGCTACTGGACCCCGTGCCCTCGCCACGCCTGGATGCGGTCGCAGAAGAGCCGCACGAGCCCCACGAGCTGGACGAGCCGCACCACGATGTGGGCGAGTTGCTTTGGGATGAAGTTGTCAGTTTTGTTTTGATTTATGTGTTGTTTCTTGTTTTGGGTTTTGCGGGTACATGCGGGTACTAGTGCTAGTGTTGGTGTTAGAGCATGCACCACTGAGGTTGGAGGAGTTCCACCGAACTCGTGCGCGTAGTTCCAGCAACACAGGTGCTCCACGCTGTCATGCTTCCAAGTTGGGCCGATCGCTTTCCAGGAGTTGGGCAAAGGAACTTGTTGCATGGCCTTCCTCAAGCCCCTAACCGTGTATTTCTGCAGATTTGTCGAGTAATCAGCAGTTCAGAGCATTTCTTTGATGTTGTTGGAATAGACGCAGGATGTCCGTGGATGGAGAGACCGACAGCTCCCTGCAACGCGGCAAGACGAAACTTGAGCGAAGATTTTCGAGATCCTCATCTGCCATGTCAGATGTATCTGAGGAGGGCAGGAAAGTGCCCAGGACATGGTTCCAAAATGTTCCAAAGTGAAACCCATTGAAGCAATGTGAAACCGTGAAACATGATTAAAACCCGACGGTTCAGACCGGCTGGGAGTGAAGATGTCGGAAGATGATCAGGTCTGGGCCCCACACGGCAGGACATCTGACCAACCACTTCGACACCGAACGAATTCGGACAAAGACTTGGGCTATGCATCCAGGTTGCCAAGGCAAGACTCCATTTCATCAGTTGCTCAACAGCTTTTGGGGCACCGTTTTGGGGGGTCGGGTCCATCTTTTTGTATCGCAACATGTCTTTAGATGAGAGTTCCGTAAATTGTGCCGTTATATGCCGTTATGTCAGCATTGTCAACTTTCCCGCGTTTCTGACAGCCTTTTGAGGTTACAGGTTCAGCCGTATATTGTTATGCATGTTTCACAGTGTTTGCTTCAAGCCCAAGGACTTGAAGAAGATCAAAGCCTTAAAGGATCTGCGAGAGGGCACAGCAAAACTTCAACCTGGCATGTATCTTTATGTCATTATGCTTGGGGATCCAGAGTATATACGGCTGATACATGAAGACCATCTGGTACATGAAGGCATCTTGGGCTGAAGACGGGAGAAACTGAGGTGCAGCGACATGTCACGTGGGAAATTGAATTGAATAAGTTGAATCTATGTTTTTATGTTGTTGAGAACAGGCTGGCTGGGGCACCTGGAGTACTTCTGCAGAGTATGTCATTGCAACATTATCATTGAAATGACATGAAATGACAATCAATTTCCTGAAATCTTAGAGCCATGAATTATCAATTTTTCTTAGGCCATCTGGGGCGGACATAGGAGGGTGCCAGTTGGAGTTTCGCCTTGCCAAGGAGTTCTTGCAGGCCACACCTCTTTAGTGGAACGGAACGAGTTCCGCAGGGGCTGGGCAAAGCAGTGGAACAACAACGACCCTGAAGTGCGGCACACCGTGACTTGGTGGAGAATGCTGCCAGCCAAACCCATGGGAGGTTGGCATGAGATCTTTCAAGCGATGTGAGTAATGTATACAACTGATTGGAATGATTGGAAGCAAAGACATTCTGATGACAGTTGAAATATGTTGAAATCACCCTGTCGTCATCCAAACCTCGGCTTTGCTGATGTGTGATCAAGCTGAGGTGCTTTATGCTGGTGAGCTTGAATATGAACAAGGGGTAGGCGTGACCATGTGGAATAACCATTCGGGTCATTACACTCCTTCGGCCAAAGATCATGTCCGCGTACACTTGGATCCCTCCACCTTCGTCCCCTATGACGAGGAGGAGTGATGAGGAGTGCTGTACATAGCATACATAAGCATACATAGCATACATATCTGGGGCCAAAGTGCCCTCGAAACCAATCAACCTGCCAGTTTTTGGCTGGAAAATCTGGACATGTTGCCGGGCCTGAGATTTTTTTCTGGATGATTTATGACACTTGTGACTCGTATGACAGTATGACTTACAGATACTTCCAGTATGAAATCAGAATCGATCGATGGTGTTCATTGGATTCATGGTTTCTGTATTGCTCTGCCAGGCCATGGGACTTGCCAGGCCATGGAACTTGCGCCATGGGAAAGGGCTGGTTTCATTTTGCGAATGTTAACCTCCTGGGGTGACGATCCCCAATCTCCATCAATCTCCTCTATTCTTCAGGGGGTTGCCAGCTAGTCATGATTTGACGGCTGGATCATTTCTCGCGAGGGTCAAGAGGGAGCCAGCTCAGTTAGGAACGTGGCGTTCTGGCACCGTTTGCGCCGAAGATTTTTTGCAGTCGATTTCCACTTAGCCGCTCCAGTGAGCCACTTCAAATTTTTAAATGCAGGTAGGAATCTCTTGTATGACTCGTATGACAGAAGATAACAGAAGGATAGAGGCGGATTTCAAGTAAACTTGATAAACAATTACATGCGTTGGCGGCCATCTCGACAACAAACTCAGACTTGAAGCTGCAACATTAGATGACTTTTCGGCCAAAATATTCCTGCTGGGACCAGCAACTTCATGGATGACAGCCATCAACTGCTCCTCCACGGCAGTTCCAATGGCAGCGGGTCCAGCGGTTCAGACTCGTATAGACCAGCTCGCTGTCGCTGCGGGCACGTGCCATGGTCGGGTGGATTTGGGGAAGTCTGGGATCCGATCCTTGGACCTCTGACTGCACCAGGTATTGGCCCTTTGTGGCCTATGCATCCTATGCATCCTTTGCATCCTCGCCACTGCCACTGTCTTTCGGCATTCTCTCGCTAAGTACTGTGCAGACCAAGGCGGGGTGCGGGCCAGGGGTTTATTTCTGCGGTGCTGCATCAATGTCATTGCAGTGTAGCTTCCAATGTCTAGTGCAGAGGCATCACAGCAGCCCAACTCCAACTTTTTCATGTAGACCTTGGAGCGCTTCGCAATGATGATGTGCTGACTCTGACGCCACACATCCTGGGACGAGTGCTCCGGCCCAGCCCAGTGGAGGCTCAGATTAGGCTTGGCCAAGGGAATGAGTTGAGGGAGTTTGCAAATTTCCAGTGATCCAACATGAAACTGGCAAAAGGGTCCAAATTTCAGTAGGAAAATCATAGTCCAGTGCCATCTTAGATCCCTGGAAGGATAGTCTCTGAGTGTCTTCGTAGCCAGGATGTCGCAGCTGATCCTGGCTGCGACTCTCCACGGTGAGTTGGTGAAGCTTGGTCAGTTGACGCTACCAAAGTTGCAGGTCTTTGTGACTGGACACCCGGTGACCCTACGGGTGGGTAAGCTGGGAAGATTTTGTCCTTGATGGCAGGGGATGGTGACATATGATGACTATCAAAGTCCCAACTCAAAAAGTTTGTAGAGGGCATTTTGCGGGACGCCCAACGTTGATGATGTCGTATCGCCAGTTATATGTCAGCCAATCCCAAGAAGACAAGCAGATGCCGCTCAATAATCTCAAGAGGGATTTTGGGGAATTCCCATAACTGTTTTTGAAGCGAAGCGGTAGATTGTGGCATCTCCTTGAGATGGTCCTCATGTCCGAAACGATCCGAGGGCAAAATCTAATCATCGAGAGGAATCCTCCCTAAGACAAGAAACTCTGCCAAATCTCGTGGTTCCTATGCGCCACAGTTTCTGACACTACCAGCCCCCAAGGCGAATCAGGATCTTTGGCTCAACTTTACCAGTTTGCTGAGCATCGACAATACCACGGCCTTTGGCTTAGCAGGTGCCGACCAGTTCATTATGCAACCAAATTGACTCAATTTATCCGGAAAAATGGTGAACTTCCTTCAGATGTAGTGATGCAGTAGGGGAACATCAAGTCCCTCCACACGAGCCTTTCATTCCTGCAGTTTGCAGGGAAACATGTAGTCCGAGAGCCCCAAACCTCGTGGACGGTGCAGGGGCAACTGTCTGTGCCTTGGCATTATGTCACGGATTGTCACTGCCAGTCAATGCTCAAGGCCTTTGCGCTTAGGTTTCTTGAGAACTAGCACCACCAGTCATAGGTGGGTATGGATGGATGGAGAATCTTGTTGTCCGGCCGCCAAGGTGGTGTGCAGAGTCTTAGGCTTTGACATTCAGATCTCCAACATCACTTTCCAGAAGACGGTGGCCATAAAGGGCATGGCAGGCTTTTCACAGGCCCAGACTCCCCGGGGTTGAGGATGACTTTTCGTGGTGTTTTAGGTGGAAAGCCAAGCGAACCGCATGGAACAGAAGTTTGTGGAGGTGTGCTCAAAAAGGTACTGCATCCTCCTAGGAAGAATAGAGAGAGAGAGAGAGAGAGACATAGATAGATAGATAGGAAGCTTAGCAGGAGCTTGAAGGCCCATCCCTGCCCATCCCCTGCAGAGAATGCGTTTCTGTCACTGCTTGCTGGTTGCTTCACCGCTGAGATGTTGAACATCTGAGCAGCTTCTGCCAGGCGTCCGAACCGATTACCATGCAGAAAATCGTTCGGGCTGAGGGATTTCGTGAGCATTTGGACACCCAAGCACCTGGGTGGTCAAATGATCATTTGTTTTTTGTTTACGGTTTCAGGCCATGAAGAGGCCAGAGGATCTTTTTCGTAGTGCGCCGTGACAAAAGTGACAAAACACTGTAGAACGATGCGAGGTTCGGATCAATTTGGTCAATCCATCGCACATTGGGGTTGCCTTGGAGGGGCCCTTCCATTTCAACATTACACAGCGCGGGCACCATTTTGGCAAGGCCTCCCTGAGCCAGGTAGACTTAAAACCAGGCAAGATGACCATGTTGGCGACCCGGCAGACTGGCAAAGGGCGGACAAGGGCAATCAGAAATGCCTTGGACATCCTTGGACAACTAGATGGTGGTGCCAAAAGCATCCAAAAGCAGTGTTGTTCTTTCTCTTCCACCACTCCTTCCATCTTTCTGTTCCAAGCCCATAGTTTATGTTTCATCGGTGGAGAAGATCTCGGACCAAGGTGAACTTTGTGCTGGAAGACACCGCCACCAATCACGACGCACTTTGTGCCTTCATTTTGGGTTACATCACGGCAGAGGTGCAGACTCTATCCATGATGGCTTCCCGCAGGCCTGACCTAAGGACATTGAAAGTGTGAGGAAGTTGGGTTGAGATTGAGATATGTTTGAGATATGTTGAGATATCATTTGGCGGATTTTGATGGGTTTTCAGGAGGCTCCCTCTGACCAATACGTCATTCTACCCCCGTTGCAGGTCCAGCTCCAATCCCCTGCTGGCGATGGTGTTGGATGGCTTGCAGCTTCCTTTCCGTTTCGAGCCTCCTGAGGTGGGGCTGTTGGCATATTTGGACACCAATTTTTGATAATTTTTGGTATGTGGTGCCTGGTTGTAAAGCCTTTGATGTATTGGTTTCTCAATCTAAAAGAGTTTTCTTGCACCAATGGGTAGCAAGAAGTGACCCGATTGAGCCCGATTTGAGGCGAGTTTTATCCACCACATCTCTGCAGATGTGGGGCTGATTGGCCTACAGGTGACCGCTGAGATCACCAACCCGCCCCTGGACCTCAAGAAGTAGGGCTTGAGACATCCCCGAGTTGCAATCACAGGCCTAACATGGCTTAACTTCTGGCGTCTTGCGCATCTTGCACCCAGGTTGCCCCAAGTGATCGTACTGGGTGCCATGGACCTGTCGATTCGCGAGAAGACCACCAAGGGAATGGACATCTTCCACTTGAAGGGGAATGAAACGACAGGTGGGGTAGACGCAGTCGATCCATCTGTTTGCCATCTTGGGCCATCTTGTTGACAATATCTGACATTTCTTTCAACAAAATCGAAGAACATATCGCAGTTTTGCGGTGCCCACGGGCCCAGGCCTGGGTGGTCAGGAATTGCAGCCTGGCAACTCCAAACTGCACCTATCACTCAGCACCTCGGCTGCCCATCTTGGCCCCACACCACCATCTCCAGACCGCGGGGATGTCCCAGGCACCATGGATGCCAACCTGAAGGACTTGTTCCTCATCGGGCGCTTGATCAAGGATGCAGTGGATGGTTCTGTTGTGGTGGGCGTCTCTGGACCTCTGACCATTACGATCCGGCCCAGCTTCACAGTGAAGCTTGGCTGGTGTACCGTTGCAGGTAGCTTGCCACGCAAGGTAAAACTTATAAAACTTACAGTACGTGGTGAGCATTCGCGCATACGCATGCATGCGTGTGTTGGTGGTGTCGAAGCCTTGGACATGGTGGAAGAGGAACATGCCTCCTATCTCTAAGCATCTTCGAAATTACAATGTGGAACAAATCTCCTGACCACTCTCTTCCCATTGAAGTGGCACTAAGGACTCTTGATTACATGGCGAATGGCGTCACAGCACAACTCTCATGTTTGGTGCTGTGCGGTTCAGCTCACATTCTAAACCCAGCCGCTTGGCTTCCCGAGCGGCGCTTGAGCCAAAGTGCTTGGACTGCAGAGCCTTCGCGTCGCCCGAAAAGTTCAGTTGCAGGGCAGCCTGCGATGCAGTAGCTGCCGAAGTCCCAGTGCTGTGGAAAGTGTTTAGTTTAATCCATAAATATAATACATATAAAATCATATAAAAATACATATAAATATAAATGTAATTGAATAATTATGAATATATGAACAAATAAATCAATCAATCAATCAATAGATAAAAATAAGTAGATACATGTAAGGGGGTGACGGGGGTGCATCAAAGAGAAAACAGTCGAAGCGGATCTTGGGGTTGAAGCGCAGCTGGAACGTGACCTTTAACAGGCAGTAGAAACTAGACCGATCTTGGTAAAGTATAAAAGTAATGTTATTTCCATTGTTACTTCCCGATAGAAGAGGGCTCGAAATTCTGAACCTCCAAACGGATAAATGATAAATGCCTAATCAAGAAGCCACCACAAAAAACTTGGGCTGATGCATGATGCTTGTTGGGCTGTTTGGCTCGAGATTTAAACCGACTTACGCAATCACTGTACTTGGGGGACTGGACAGAAGTCCCAACCCAAATCACGCACTCGCACTAATTTGTGCCTTGTTCTTGTTTATTTTTGGATGCTTTCGCCCCTTTGACTTGATAAAGAATGTTTTGAAGACCCCCAAGTCGACCCGGCCGTCCTTTTGCAGTTCACGTTGCGTTTGCCAAGGTACTCGGACCGAACCATGATCGAAACCCTTCATATGACCATGGAGGTTCTTGCAGACGCCAAGGTGGAGATCTTCGTCTTTATCTTGGCTGCCTGTGTCCACTTCTTGCTCTTCAGCAATCGCCTTCCCGTAAAGGACGGGATAGATCCGGCGGGGTGCTTGGGGGGTATTTGCTATTGCCGCTATTGAGTCAAGATGAGTCAAGGATACCTCGATCATGGTGACTGGAAGTTGCTGGCTCATTTTCCGCTCCCTCAATGGTCCGGCACGACCCCAGGACCTCAAGGCCAAGGCTGAACCAGTTGCGCGCGAGCAGAAAGGGCGTCCAGCTGCAGAGCCACAGAATGTCAAGACGCTTCCCGGACCTGCATCGTGCATTTGCTATGCCATGAAGGACGCCTTGCGTTCCTTGGCTGCTCTAGTGGTCACTAGTGTGGTCATGTAGATTCGTAGATGGCAATGCAAATCATTGATGGCAAGGGGGCATTTGAAACCAGAACAAGTGCTTGACTTGGGAGTAGAGGCTCAGTAGAGGTTTGTTATCTGCAGCGTTGGATACTGTGCCTTCCACTTTCCAACATAATTTAATTGAGCTTTTGCATTGAGACCATTGTGTGACTTTATCGGCCCTTGTCATCATTCTCGAGTCTCAAAAGGACTTGGTGTTCTCTTGGTCCGAGTGCAGAAGTTTGAGGCAAGAAGATTGCAACAAATCTTTCAAGTTGGGCATGGTTTGTGAAATTACTTTCTGGCCCCTTCAGATATTGGAAAACATAAAGCTGGATGTGCTTTATCAAATCTGGACCTGCCCTAGAAACGCGGTCAAGGTTGCGACTTTGTGAAACAGGAGTTGATCGAAGGTGAGTTGCGACGGCTGTTGGCCTCCTTTGAAGTGCCAGAGGACTGAGACTTTATTCGGCAGCGCTGATAGGGATTGCATGGGAGTGACCAGGAGGGATTTTGATTTTAATGCATTTCATATGATTTCATGTTTCATACTGGGCTTCGTGAGATCATGGTTCCGATTCGCAGGATGAGTAACCAACAATGTAACAAGGGGTGTCCACAGTGTCAAAAAATGCATGGCAAAGGTTTCGAGGTGGCACAGGCTGAGTTCAACACACATCAGCGCTTTGGGAACATCATTGTGGTATCGTTGCAGTTGTAGGACGAAACACAAGCCGTGCTGGCATCTGCCTGTGAAGGCGTTTGGCAAGTTGTTTTTTTTGGAATGCACTGCCCTCCGCTGGATGCACGAAAACATCATGAAAAACATAGGAACTGTGAAGATCATGTCCGTAACCTTTTCCCTCCAGCATGCCTTCATGATCATGTGCTGGACAGGTGGACACGCAGGACACGCCATCAGAACGAATCAGATTTGCTTAACGACTGTCAGGCCTCGGGCGTCTCATCAACCATCCTGAACTGTTGGCATCCATCCGAGCCATCGTTGGGGAGGTGACCAATCCTTACCTGGCCGAGAATTTGCTCCGAGGAAACCTGGATGAAAGAAAAGGAAAGGAATGTTAGCTACGCCGCATGATCAGCAATTCAACTAGTACGCGGGATTTTCCTAGGGTAACCGTCGGGTAACCTAATTTTTTGGCTTCCAATGGTTGCCGTTTCTGGCAGTCCATGACAAATGGGGCACCAAGATCACCAAGGATACTGGAGTGGAAAGGCCTATGCCAACTTTGACAGCTTCCTCTTCACGTTTGGGGACTTTTGCAAGACCAGTGGCACCAAGATGCCTCGACAGGCACGTCTTACTTAGCTTAAATCAAATCAGGTTCCGGGTAAGAGTTGCAGACAAAGCTACTTGCAATGGGTAGGCGCCGCCAATGCATCTTCAAGAGCCGAGGAATCCCAAATTCTACCAAAGGTTTCTCACCTGTTAAACCCACCAATAAACTCAGGAAAACACACTGATCCGTACCCCATGCACCTGATTTTCCCATTTGGATCCTTTTGGTTGGTATCAAATTCCCGCATGAAAGCTTTGATCATTGAGGTTTCCACCTTGGGCCAATTGGCATGTCTCATCCGTGATGCTCCTGGTCTTGTGAGGTCATTATCCTGGCGATCCAGTTCGTCGTGGCAGCAGTCACCCAGCTAGGTAGTAACAGTGGCAGTTACTGGCAGCTGAACGCACATGGCAGATGTGGCCCCTTATTCTCGTCATTGAACTAAAAATCAAGTTCAGTCACATTTCTTCAACGCCATTTCCCGGCCAGTCTTTGAAGACTTTCGTACAGACCCTCAGACTACTCCCATGGCCGATATGAGCCCTTCGAAAAATTGGGGACCCCAATTCATCAAATCATCGGATATATCTCAAAACATCCACCAAATGGGTCTGGTTGAGTCAGGGATGCCACTCGAAGCCAGGGGAAGCCGCTGAGGAACAGATCGAGGCTGAGGCGGCACAGAAACAGAAGGCCCGCCTCGCTTTGGTGGGCCGCGGGGATGCGCCCGTGGCCAGCCCAAAAGTCCTGACCTGGGAGAAGCTGGAGATCCTCGGCGGGTCTCAGCTGGAGCTATTGGCGCTGTTACTGTACAGCAAGTAATTACAGATAATGCGTTCATGGATTCACTGTCAGTCCTGCAGGCCAAGGGATCCAAGGGCCTTGGGTCAACTTTGGTCAAGCTGTCAGCACGCTCCAGCCCTTAGGACCATCATGAAGGACTTCTTGCTGATGTTGGATGATGAACCTTCACGTTACGTTTCCTTTCATCGCATTTTGGATGTGCCGTGGCGGAAGGATCCAAGTAACAGATTCCCATTGCACCTGAAGATTTTCACAAATTTGTCCATGGAAGGTGAGACAGTGGTTTCTACCAATTCCTCCCGTTGAGGTGGTGGTGAAGCGTGATGCCGAGAAGTGCTGGGATGTCGTAAAGAACATGGAGCAGCAAGGCTTACCCCCGAACAACGTGGCCTGCCCAATGCAGCGATGGGGCCAAGGTAGAGCCATTTTTTTGCAGGGGGTTCCATTGGTGGCATTGTCTCTCTGAATCTCTCATGAGCTGCCCTTTCATGCTGTGGGCTACATGAAGCATGCTGAGGTCACTTGTTCCATTCTTTTGAAGGGTGCGAGGAAGCACAGCCAGGACGCTGCAGTTATAGGAGATGGCATTTGATAGGGTACAATGTAAAAGTGCCGCGAACCACGCGGCAGAAGGAAGCGCAGCCAAAAAACATCAGAATGATGCAGAACGATAAGATAGCACAAGATAGCATAGGTGGAACATAGTGGAAGTGACATTCCACTGGTTATGGATGTTCATTATGCATTATGAAGACCAGTTGCTGGTGCAGTAGCTGCAAGGACAAGTTCTTGATCGATGTCATGAAGGTTATCGACGCTCGCGAGGCCCGCGGAACGGGTAGGAATGGTTTGAGTGACCGTAGCCCCTCCAGAGATACTGAGCTTGCGAACAACTATCCTTTGCCTTCAAGGGATGAGGATGGAGATGACTCTTGGAAGAAAGAAGTTGGTTGACCGAATGACAGACTAGCAAAGCAACTAAAGCTAACTAAAGCGAATGGTCAGTACTTTGGCACAGAGAAGATGTACAGTAACTCATGAACGATTGGATATAGTGACGATAATATAAATGCAAAAACATCTGCTATCTACTCGCATGAGCAAATACCTATGGAGGGCTATTTTTTTTTTTGGAGGGGGGACAGGGTTTGTTTTTGTTTTTTGCTGGTTCTCTGCTTTCGTTGCTTTCATTGCTTTCATTGCTTTCATTGCTTTCATTGCTTTCATTGCTTTCATTGTTTTCATTGCTTTTATTGCTTCTCTGCTTTTCCTGCTTTTCCTGCTTCTCTGCTTTTCTGCTTTTCGCTTTTCGTGCTTTTCGTGCTTTTCGTGCTTCTCTGCTTCTCTGCTTTTCTGCTTCTTTGCTTTTCCTGCTTCTCTGCTTTTCTGCTTCTCTGCCTTCATTGCTTCTCTGCTTTTCCTGCTTCTCTGCTTTTCTGTTTTCTGCTTCTTTGCTTTCCCTGCTTCTCTGCTTCTCTGCTTTTTCTGCTTTTGTGCTTCTGTGCCTTTCTACTTCTACTATTCTTCTTGTTCTTTTCTGCAGTCATGTGTTTGAGGAGCTCTACTTCCTGCTCCTCTGCTTCTCTGCTTCCTGTCTTTACTGTCTCTTCGTTTTTCATTTTCTTTTGCTTTATTCTGTCCTGTTTGTATCCTAAATGAAACCCTAGAGAGACCCTAGGTGAAACCCAAAGAACCCCTAAAGAAATCCTGATAAATCCTGACAAGAAACCCTACATGAAACCCTAAATGACACCCTAAAGAAACCCTAAACGACACCCCAAAAAAACCTTCACTGAAACCCCAAAGAAACCCTAACTGAAACCCAAAAGAAGCCCTAAATAAAACCATAAAAACACCCTAAATGAAACCCTCAATGAAACTCTAAAGAAACCCTAAATGAGACCCTAAAGAAACCCTTAAAAAAACCTAAATGAAACCTCAAATGAAACACTAAAGGAAACCCTAAATGAAACCCCTAATGAAAGCCTAGAAACCCTCAAGAAACCAACATGAACGTTTGAAGTACCAAAATGTATCAAATACCATGCAAATGAGGGGTTGAAGTGCCAAAATGTTGCAAATACCATGCAAAATGCAAAATGACCATGCCAAAATGTAGCAAATACCATGCAAAATGCCAGGTTCTAGTTCCACACTGTTGCAAATACAAGGCAAATGGTGCCAGGAAAGAAAGCTTCAAAAAATCCAAAACCTGACCCACAAAAAATCCAAAAACTATTCTGCACCCAATACCTATCTCACTGAGCAACATATTGGGGAATGCTACAGTATGGCAACCTTACTGATAGATCTGATAGAATCCAATGCATCATGCATACAACCAACCATACTGGATGTCAACAGACACAGACGGAACTGACAGCAGTGCCAGGCCAAAGACATCGACGAAGTTCTTTTGGGATCTCTCTATGAAGCGTGCATCCGCTGTGCCCTGGAGCAGTTGAGTACCAGACACAGCTGAACATCAGATACCTTCAACATCCTTCAGCCCCAACAAGCGTTGTGGGGGGTCACAAGAGGCGCCAAAAGCCTGGTGCGTAGTTCCCCACTTCCAAGATCTTCCAAGAAATTGGCGCTGAGAACTCGCTCCACCGACCAGTGATTCAATGGCCAGGACCACCCATCAATATTGACCCCGGGTTGTCCGGAAATAAAAAGAAATGGAATACAGTAATTAGTAATTATATATAATATATATGTAATTATTCATATTCATACCATATTTATAACCCATATTGTACGGTTATGACATCAAAAGCTTCTAGGATGGATGTTTTTCAAACTAGTTTTGATGTTGTTTTATTTTAAATAAATGGGGATATGTTTCAGATACGATTTGTTGTTACAATGTTTTGTTTCTGGTCTGGTTTTGCAGTTATGATTTTGAATGATTTTGATATGGTTTCAGTTACGATTTTGATATGGGTCAAGATTGTGATTTTGATGTGGGTCAAAAAAGTGTGATTTCTGTTTCTTTCGAGGTTTCGTATGGTTTTGTTTGGTTTTTGAACACAACTCGAACACATATCAGAATCATATCAGACTCACATATCAGAATCGTATCAAAACCGTATCAAGACCATATCAAAATCATGTCAAAACCACAAAAAACCTCGAGAAATCGACCAAAAGCCTGTCCCGGGGCTGTTTCTGTTTCCTTTCTTGAAGCCAACCCATCGGGAACCCTGAAAAAGGCGCTCCGTTCCCAAACCATATCAGAACCATACCAAATCACATCCAAAGCCATATCTAAACCATAATCCAACCATAAGTAAACCATATCAAATACATAACAAAACCACATCGAAATCATAACCCCAAATTCAACGCGTATCAAATTCATATCTTAAAATCATATCAAAACGATATTGAAATCATAAAACCAATAATTCTTGAATTTGGCTTCCTAGAGGATTTTGGTCATCATTGTACGGTATTGCCAAATTGTGGTATGCTCCTAAGATGGCCAGATTTTTCATGGAAAATCCGGCTCGACCATTGGAATCTGCCAGGTTTTCCATGGTTTTCCCAGCATTTTCACAGAAATTAAGGTGGTCAGATGAAGCACCTTTTGGAGTACGTGCAAAGGCTCCGCCACAAGGGAGGCCTCATTGAGATCCGCAGCCCTCACACAGGTGGCTCCATCATCCGCGCCTATGGTGCCACGGGTGACATGAAAGGCGTTTGGGACACCTGGAATGACCCTTGGCTGCCAGCCTTGGCTGCCAGCCTTGGCTGCCAAAAGCGTGAATTACCAAGCTGTGCAGAGCTGTGCAGTGTGTAAATTTTAGAGCCCTGGGGTCAAAAGTCGAGGTGGAGTTCGACTCCAGACTCAGACTGGGAATTCACCCATTTGCCCGTACAGTTCTGCAAGTCAATGATTGTGTATTGGATGGTACAGCTACGTCCATGTGCTTCCTAGGACTTGAAACGTCGTGGAGTGGAACCGACACGAATCACTTTGGGGTGCATGGTCGAAGCACTGGCCGCCAACGACGACCCAGAGGGTGCCTATGAAGTGATCCAAGGGGCGCTGGCAGATCCCAACACAAAAGGTGCGGGTCCCTGTGGGCAACACCGGATGATGTTTGGCAGGCCTATAGGAGTGTGGAGGTTTACGATGATTGAGAATGACAGACTTGTCATTTTCAGAACCTGCCCTTTATGATCTTTATGATAACCTCTTTTTGGCTGCAATGGTTTGGGACTTGACTTGGCAGCACTAAAGGGAAATGTGGCAGCGGGAGGCCTGGTGACTGCGGTGACCTACAGCTCGGTTCTCAAGAGCCTCAACCACAAGAAGTGCTTCTATCGTGTTTGGGAGATCTATGAGGAGACTTTGCGGCAGTTGTCCGTCGGTGGTAAAAAGAAGCATCATCCCTGCCATGCCCAGACAGGGCGAATGTTGCCAAAGGTAAGATGGACATTCGCGGCTAAACATAGCAGAGCCTTGCAGTTGTTTTGATAAATTTCCATGCATTTTTCCTTGACAACAGATTCGCACAAGCCTCAGGAAATGATGCGCCAGAAGGCACTTCTGCTGTTGGGATTGGGAATAGTCACTCGTTCCAAGGACAGAGCAATTAAGGAGCCTGGGCCTGTTGAAATGTTTTGAGACAAAATTATATAGGAGTGTAGAGTCAAGCATTCTAGGACTTCAAGACGGTGAGAGATGGTGAGAGAGCATCCTCACACGTAGAATTGAATGTTTTTGATAAGTCATGTCGTACAGTAGGTGAATTTTGAGCCATAAAAAAGAGGAAACTGATCAGCAGATATCAGCAGGTGGAGTTCACCACCACGACGTACAATGCCTTGCTGGACGTGTGCGCCCGCAGTGGTGAGATCTCGCGGGCCGAGCCGTTGCTGAAACAGATGGTGGAGCAGGGCTTGGCGCCCAGCGTCATCACCTACAGCACAGTGATCAAGGCCTACTGTGGGGCCAATATGCTGGAACAGGCCTTCAAGCTCTTTGAGGCTGGGGATGAGGGGATAGTGACTTGATAGTGGAGGATTTGGAGGTTTCCTGGCTTCTTTTTGGCTGAGCAAAGGACAAATGGATGGCTTGCAGCTGTTATTTGGGTTGTGAGGTAGGGTATGAATCGTATCAGGAAACAAAATGATCGCAGCACTGGAACCGACGTGGTGGGAGTTCAGCCTACCTGGAAGGAAATGAAGTGCAACACAGACTTGGACCCAGATGAAGTGACTTTCAACACCCTCTTGGACGGCTGTGCTCGCTATGGCTTCTTTGATCGTGGGTGTGAGGTGCTGCAGGCAACTTGGACTGGAACGTTGGGTGGTGCTTTTTAAGTCAGTTTGTTTTGGTCGGTGGGTTCAAAAAGTTTCTCGTTTCGAACCCTACTTGTGCGGATCTCGAATGACTCATATCTCGGGGCGGGTTCAAGCATCAATGCCATCCAATGCCACAGTGTGCCACAAATAATCTAGACGTCAATCTATATAAAGTAATCTAAAGCCACTTCGACATTTCGACGCCCAAACCTGTGGAAATGTCGAGCCAAAGAGCCTTCAGCTCTGCCAGGAGATGCGGAGGACAGGCATCACTCCCAGCAACTACACCCTGTCTGTCATCGCCAAGTTGGCCAACCGATGCTTGGTCGCAAGACGCAAGTTGCGCAAGTCACGGGGGGGTATCCGAGGGGTGTCTGCTGGGGATAAGATGCAGCTGAGGAAGCAAGAAACCCAAGATGGCATTCAAGATCGTTGAAGCATTGCGTGCCTTGGCTGGACACGAATTTCCGCTAGTGGGGGGCAATGTGCACTCTAAGTTTCCTCAGTTTTCTGTGGCATGCGTCAAGGTATGGAATATGGCCTCAAGCTGAACATGCACGTGTACAACAACTTGATCCATGCAGCAATCCTCGACAACGACTTGATGAAGGCCTACTGTTGGCCGCCACCTATATCATTATATATATATATCCAGATTTTTCCGCAAACAGTTTAGTGTTGGGGGTCTCAATTCTTTCTTAAGAGGTGTCCGGCTCTTTCCAGGTGGTGGTGTCCGGCTGTCGGGATGTCTCCCGTCATTTGTCTCCCAGTGTGCCTAAGTGGTGCCCGGCTCTCCAGATGTTTTTCCTTTCTTGTTTCCCTTTATTATCTTTCAATGTGCCTAGTGGTGTCCGGCTCTCCGGATGCCTTGCTTTACTTGATTCCCTTCATTTGTTTCCTTTTGTCTCCGACTCTGGCTCATACCCCAAAGCAGAAAACTGTCAAGTTGGGTCCAGGTTTCGATCTCTCGAAGCAGGGAGGTGGTATCGCGACTTTTTTTTCCCTCTGACATGTATGCGCACAGTTGTCTTCCACTGTGTCTCCCACTTTGTCTCTCGCTGTGCCTCCCTTGTCTCCCACTGTGTGTCTCCCACTGTCTCCCTTGTCCCCACTACTGTGTCTCCCAGTTTGTCTCCCACCTTGTCTCCCACTGTGTCCCCCAATTTTTGGCTCTTCCAGCAGGGTCCTGGGCATTGGAACCTTGTCACCTAGTGGTCTTCCAGTTGTCTCCCACAACTTCCAATTATGTTCCAATTGTCTTCCAGATGTCTTCCAATTGTCTCCCAATTGTATTCTACTTGCCGCCCAGTTGTCTCCCAGTTGTCGTACAGATGTGGTCTCCCAATTGTCTTCCACTTGTCTCCCAGATGTGGTCTCCCAGTTGTCTCCCAGATGTGGTTTCCTAGATGTTGTCTCCCAGTCCGGTTGTTGTAGCAGCGCCACATGTGCATGCTTCCATCTCGCCCGTTGCACAGCTCGGGCAGGAAGATCTGAAGGCGATGGAGAGAGAGAGAGAGAGTCCTTTTGTTGTTTAGTTGTTTTCCACCTCTCTCCCAAATGTGGTCTCCAGTTGTCTCCAAGGTTTCTCCATTCGTTGTCTAGTTGTCTTCCAATTTTCTTCCAGATGTGGTTTTCCATTTGTCCCCTAGATGTCTCCCAGATGTGGTTTCCCAGATGTTGTCTCCCAGTTGCCTCCAAGGTTTCTTAGGTTGTTGTCTAGTTGTCTGCCACTTGTCTCCCAATGTGGTCTCCCAATTGCATTCCACAATTCCCATTGTCTCCCAGAATTGGTCTTCCAATTGTTTTCCAAGTGTCTTCCATTTGTCGCCCCGTTGTTTCCCAGTTGTCTTTCGGATGTTGCTTCCCACTTGTCACCTAGTTGTCTCGCGTTTGTCTTGCAAATGTGGTCTTCCAATTGTCTCCGAGTTTGTTCCAGATGTGCTCTCCCGATTCTCTCCCAGTTGTCTTCCACTTAACCTCCACAACGCCCAGTTGTCTTCCAGATTTAGTCCCCCAATCATTTCTCAATTCATTTCTCAATTGCTTTCCAAATGTGTACTCCTTAGCCTTTAATTTGAAACCGTCACTGCTGTTGGGTTGTAAAGCTGTGTTAATTCTGGATGTCCGTCTCCCCTGTGTCTCCCACTCTGGCTACTGGTGTCCGACTCTCCGGATTTCTCTTGTTACGGTACTTGTTTCCAGGTTTCCCTTCATGTGTCTCCCGCTCTGGCTAATGGTTTCCGGGTCTCCGGATGCCTCTCCTCACTGGTCTCTCTTTACTTGTCTCCCAGTCTGGCTTTCGACGGCTAGTGGTGTCCGGCTCTCCTGGTGTTGTCTGGCTCTCCGGGTGTCTCTCTTTACGTGTCTTCCTTCATGTGTCTCCCACTCTGGCTAGTGGTGTCCGGCTGTCCAGATGTCTTCTCTTTGCTTTCACTTGGCTCCCATCATTTTTTCTCTTACCATCTTTCTCCCGATTCATCTGTCTCCCAACTCATGTGTCTTCGATCATTAGTCTGCCTTAGTGGTGTCTGATTCTTTCGCCTATTCGCCTTTGTGCATGTCTTCCGTCATTTGTTTCTCACGATCTTTTTCCCACTTCATTTGCCTCGCCATTCATATATCTCCCCCAGTGGCAGTGTCCTGTTCTTGTTTCATCACGATTTCATTTGTGATTGGTCCTTATCTCTGTTCTTTTCTCCCTTTGTGTCGCTTTGCTGTCTCAGGAGTTACACCAGCATTAGACCCCAGATAGCAATAACATGAGAAAACGTTGCTTGTGACTCATGCTGTTCTCAATTGAGATGGACTGAGCATTGCCAACATCGAAGCTAGTATAACCACAAACATGCACGCAGACGCTGCAATGGATATGGAAAAACTGTTTGGGGCCTACGGGGGTGTAATCCAACCGGAAACGATGTCCTAGGCCTTCGGCACACTTGGTGAAGGGGATTTCCCACCAGTGCTTCCTTTGTCTGCAGGGGTGAGTAAGGCAATTCCCTAGAATTTTCTTGCAATGCTGATGGCTGATCGCGAGGCACAAGAGCTTTTTGCGACCATGCTGGAAAACAAGATTCAACCCGATGGCAGGACATATGCCCTCATGTTGCTTGGTGATCTATTTGACTCTACTTGTTTTTTGAAAAAAGGGGCAGACTCAACCGGGATGTTTGTTCGCAATGTGTGTTCGCCGGCGCCTCGCAAAGGTTGAGAGCTACCGTGACACACAAGCTTGATGCGTCGCTTGATCAGCATTCCTGGTAGCTTTTGGGGCTCTAGCATTTGGCATGGACAACTGGCTGTTGGAGTGAGATACTGGATTTAAAGTTCAGATCATAGCTTGGATATTGCTTGAATGGATTTGGATGGTAAAGCATGACAGGAAACGGAAATAGACTGAAGGTGCTTCCGAGGAAGTCTTAGCAAACTCCACAACAAACTCCAGGGGCGTGACCCTGTGCCCACCCATGTGCAGTGACATGGAATTTGCAACGCCGGCTTGGGGGGAAGTTTGCAATGTTTGCAGTCTGGAATTGTAGGAAGATACGGTTGTATCTCTGGCAGGACGCAGACAAGGACACACCTTGCACACGATGCACAGGACAGATGTAGCAGCCTTTCACACACAGAGCAGAACAAGCCAGGTTGTTCCAGACAAACAAACTATATATATATATATATGTGTATATACCAAAAGTAATTATCTTAACATTAACAAATACACAAATAGATACATAAGCACACACACACACATATGGATATAATAGAAACACAACACACACACAAATAGAGAAATAAATATATCAATAAATAAATCAGTAAAATATATAGATTAAGAAATAAATAAACATAAATCAACAAATAAACATAAATAAATAAATAAGTAAACAAACAAACAAACAAACAAACAAACAAATAAATACAGAAATGAATAGATAAATAAATAAATAAATACACTAACACATTCACGCATATATATATAATAAACACATGTATATATATATATAAACACACATATAAACACATATACGCATATACACACATATATATAATCTATCCCTCTCCCTCTCTCTCTCTCTCTCCCTCTCTGTGTATGATCTAACAGTATGTATATCGTCGTGGACATTAACCCCCAGCAACCTTTATTAGAAGCTGCCGATCCACCGAGGCTTGCCAAGGTGATGCTCCACATTGCCTTTGGCATGAAGGTCCAGGACCTTTGGGGTTGCCATTCGTCATGCTTCCAGCACTCTTCATTTCAGCTTGGATGTTTAAAGATATCTCAAGATCAATTTGTGAACTCCCAACATTTGGGAACACATGCCAAAGATGTACCACAAAGACCACTCAGGGTTTTTGATACTTTGGATAATTCTGACCTTCCAAGTGGATCCCCTGCCGCATCCAACATGCTGGTGGTTTCGGATGCAAGGCTTTTGGCCCTCAGGACCCAAGGATCATCAGCAATGGGCAGCTACACAAGTCCTTGCTGGAGCAACTCCTGCGTCCGGTCCAATGGGCCGCTCGGTGGATGGTGCGGTTTCAATCTACGTGAGGATCAGCTGTAAAAACCCAATTTAAGTATAGTGGAATCCTCAATTATATAATAGATGATACTACCCAATTATAGATGATATACTGGTTTGTCAATAGGATGGCTCAAAACCTGTCCCGGTGTATACCCTCAACACAAGGTCGATAGTACCCAACCCCCCAACCCTTGGGGGTTGGCCCAGGTAGGGTCTTAAAAGGTTCGAGAGAACCACTGTAGACCCCAAGATTTCCTACTATAGACTCTGCAGATCCTTAACTGCCAAAAGTAAGCTACCTATTATGATCTATCTATGCTACAAGATGTCGCAAGGAATCACAGAACATGTTGCGAGATATTACAGGTGTTCTGATATCGAAAGTTGTAGTATGCACAAATCTAGAATGATGATACCACAGTGCTCTATCATGTTGTATTCATTCATGCTCGGAGGGTTCTAGAATTCTTAAGGACCTTTGACTTGAAAAAATACTGTAGTCTTATGAGCCTTCTTGTGGCCTCCAAGATGCAACAAGAAAGGTATATAATTTTGGAATACAAAAAAAACAAGATCAAAATGAGGAACCTGCAGCAATGTGCCAAAACGACGTGGGGGCATTTTGGTCGGTCACCGGTCCCATCTTCGGTCACGTGGTTCGATTTACAAACAAGAGTGAAGTGATGAGCAGCGCGCAGTAATGTGCAAAAGAATCGTTCTGAACGAATCATGCATTTTGGCTGGCAACATGCTTATTGAATGAGCATGAACCTGAATGTCATGTGGCATGCCATTACCTCCAACCTCGCAAAAAAGTCACCTTGGTTTAGAATCTTAGAATGTGCAAAATCAAGTCAACTGCAACTTGCAGTGATGTGCGTCCTCGTTTTCACCGCCAACCTCCAACCTTTAGATACGAACATCATTTTCCCCAGGGCCAGTGCGCTTCAAAATCTGTTCAAAGCTTGGAGGCAACCATTCTAGACCCACAGGTGCTGATTGGTGGCTAGCCATCCTCTTCCATCCCTTCTACATCCCTTCTACATCTTTCTACATCCTTCCACATCCTGCTACATCCTTCTGCATCCTTTCACATTCTTGTTCTCATCCACCATCTCAAACCTTCAGATACCAACACACCTTTTGTCCAACCAATAGGCATTTGGAGGAAAAGCGTCAGTGCGTTTCAAAATCTGTTCAAAGCTTGAAAGAACCATTCTAGACCCCCCAACTTTTGACTGGTGCTTAGTTTTTCTCCGATTTCTGCTCGCAGGACAACCTGAAAGTATTACATGGAAGGAACAAAGAGTGCTATGCACATATGATGTACCCTCTTTGATAGACAACTTTTGGGGAAGAAAGGAGGACAAACACCTTACCCAATATATAAATTTGTCAGGGAAATAAAATTCCCGCAGTCAACAAATCCAAGAGGAGATTATTTCTTGAACACCAATGCTCTTGCCAGACAGTGGCACCGTGAGTTTTTCTAGAAGAAGAAGAGGGCAAGGTGATTTCAAAACATGACTGGGCCGCGAAACATGTGTTGGAAGAAACATTGCGCAACTGTGATGCACACTTTTAGTGAAAAGAAATGAACAAAACACAGCACAAACAAACATACATTTTCATTGGTTTCATGGCTTGGAAGGATATGATTTTACAACCCTCCCACATGTAACTTTAAAAAACACTAGCCAGGCTATCCCCATTATGAAAATAACAAGGTCTGGGACAAACCATTCCAGACCCGAGAACCTAACCAGACCCTTGGCTTGCCAGCAGAAAAGGTCTAGTGGTATACAAGCTTTTGGTGGTATGTGCAGGTTGGTTTCTTGAGAGAAAAACAAAAAAGACCAAGCTCTCAGGGTCTACACAATAATCCACCAAGGCCCCCCCCCCCAAGTAGTTGATGGTATTGTGTATAAGAAAAAAAGATAAATAAATAAATAAATACATATATATATATAGATATGTATACAAATGTACATGCAAAAGTACGTGCCTACATACATACATGCATGCATGCATGCATGCATACGTACGTACGTGCATGCATGCATACATGCATACATACATACGTACGTACGTGCATGCATGCATACATGCATACATGCATGCATATATACGTACGTACGTACGTGCATGCATGCATACATGCATACATGCATGCATACATCCATCTATCCATCCATGCATGCATTTATGAATCCATGCATAAAAACAGACAGACAGATACACATGCAGGCAGGCAGGCAGCCAGACAGACCTACTTACCTACCTACCCACCTACCTACCTACCTACCTACCTACTTACCTACCTACCTACGTACGTACGTACGTACGTACGTATGAATACATATGATATGTCAGATGTCACATTAGATTATGACCTTAGATTAGCATATGTGGGGATGACCATCTGTGCACAGATCCCAGCTATTTTGATGTTGATCCCATCTCGGTCCCAGAGCATTGACCCATCTCGGTGTCCCCCCAGGCAAAGGCACCTCTGCGCAGCGGCAACCAGTTACAGGAAGATGTGGTCAAAGATGTCGTGGAATTTTTGCCACTTAGATCATTCGTAGCTTGCGTGATCCGGAATCATCAAACATGGCTGGGACGCATCCCCGTCAACAATGGAGGTTTAAGTATGTTTAAGTGGGAAAATGATCATGATCTATCAATGGGGACAGTGTCCATTGCGTTTGATTTGATTACACTGGAGGGTAAACAAACTACAAGATGGAAGCACGCAAACGCATACAGTACCACCTGTGCATGGTTGGTCATGGTTGTAGCAGAACTACCAGCGCCGTTTGGGAGCCAAGTTGGAGCCAAGGTCCGTGGAAGCAGCTGGTTTGTCAAAACTGCTGGCAGAAATTTCAAAGACGATGCCATCTGCAGCTGCTATGGCCCAGCCATAGTCCAATTTCTGAGCCACTCCACACCTTCTGTTTTGCTGGGCGCCCATGCCTGGTCCAATGAATGGCCTGACGTAAGGTATTTTAAGGGTCATTGGGCTGGCGGTGTGTGGCCTAAGTCCCGGCCGATGGCGCAGAGATTGCATGATGACAGTATCTACAGATCAGTGGCCCGATGCGGCACGGGCCGTCAAGGAAGGCTTCTCGTTGGTTGGCGGTGTGACACAAGCTAAACCTATTTTCAACTGGTCTCCCACCTGGAAAGCACATGTTCCTGGAACCGTTAACCGAAGAGCCCTTGATGGCTCATGGCTGTTTTTTCGCTGTAGACTGCGGCCGACCACGTGATGTGGCAGACAAAAAAAATTGGTCTAGCAGTCTAGCAGTCTTGCAGGGAAGTGGTGGCCAAATATCATTTTTTTCCTGAGTATGCGTCGCCGCCATAGGGCTACAGGTGGTATAGCATATACTCACGATTTTGCAGCATCGCTGGGCTTCCCTGTGGGGTAACCGGGGGCAATGGTATATATGCCACTGCCAACACAAGCACCAAGCGTTGAAGTTCCAAAAGTAAGCAAAGCCATGGTGCCACGACCACGGCGACCCCCGAAGTCAGTGAGGCTGGATGTGAAAGTCACTGGGGCTCTGTGTGCGTTCTGTGTTGTGTTGCTGGTGCAGTAGGTCAGTAGGTCTTGCAAGTCATGCCTGGTGCGATCAGTGCAGTCAGAATTCGCCAATCAAATCCTCTGAAAAGGATTATACAGACACCCAGTTGGTTGGGAAATCCAATCCCAATCCAATTCAATTCCAATCCAATCCAGTGACAACTGGGAAAAGCCACAGCAGACCAAGCCATCACTGGCAAGCTCCACCCTGCAGGCACCTCACCTCTCAGGACTTCGTCCGCAACGGCAGGGTGGTGAGATATCCACCAGACACACAGCTGGAGCCACTCTGGCAGGTGCTGCAGACTGAGGGGCAGCTAGCTGTGCCTGGAGAAGGTGCTGCTTCTCTTTGTTTGGCTCTCTGTCGTTGAAGTTGGCTGTTGGCCATGTTCTATGCAAAAGCACGGGGAATGCCAAAAACTCTCGGAGTTGATGGTCTAGTGTCTCTAGCGTAGTAAAGACTTTAAAGATCTGCAAGTCGCATGGAGTTGTTTCATGTTGTTTCCTCGCAATGGCAGTGCGTGATAGTGAAGGGCAGCTTGGCCTGCATGGGGTAAACTGGGCCATGCCAGAATGATGACCCAAATGTTCATGCAGACATGCGCCCTACCGTTCCACATCACCGGGTGAAATGTGCTTTCAGCAAATAATTCTCACTATCCCAATAGGATAATAGGGAGGGTTCCAGTATGTTCCAGTAAATTTGAGGCTTCCAACATCATTATCCTACATTATTCTTAGGTCCTTCAACAGGATCGCGTGATGTTGACGATGCAACTGAGGTTTCAGGCCTTTCTGCAGGCCTTTTGACGATCGATGGGAAGACCCAGGCTGCGAAGCTGGTCGACATCAGCGCTGCGGACGTGCTGTGCTTTTCGCAGCGTGCGCGACCTGAAGTGGTCCCAACGAGTGATGGGACATCGGCGGCTCGGTGGGAGGGACCACCTGCATAGTATACTTCTATCATCTTCTATCTAAAATAGTATAGTATTATATATATATATAAATATATATATATATACAAAAATATATTATTATAGGTATATATATATATGTGTGTGTGTGTGCGTGCATTTATACACATATATATATTTATAAATGCACACGCACACACACACACACCCATATATATATTTACAATATATAAATGTATATATACACATAGATACGTATACAATATACGCATTCAAATGCTGTACGCAGTATTCATAATATTATGTATGATAATATATATATATATATACACAGATACATATTAATAAACAAAATATATGCACAGAATGCACGCACATGGCGCTATATTTAGATAAAGCCATGGTTTGCACACCTTTTATATTGTTACCGAGGTCTTGAGCATTTGGACAGCCCCGGGGGCCAGCCATCGCATGCGCAGCTTCAAGCTGCATCGTGAGGAGATGGTGGTGGTCGGGGAGGAAGCTTCTCTACTGGTGCCCTGAGGGAAAGGTTATTTGATGCTTTCTGGTTGGGGGATTCAAGAGTTTTTACCAACAAAATATGGGGATTCAACCGATAATTGGGATTGAACACCGATGTACCTGGTTGGTTGACCATTTCTTTTTGGGATAGGTTGAGCGCAGATCAGGTGAGCTAATAGCAGTGTTTTTAAATACAGACTTATTTGTGCCCTCGGACCGACAACCGTGCTCGCAAAAAGGCGTTTTTTTCCCTAATTGCCGTTGGGCTTTTGGTTCTGTCGGCAC